CTTTTCACCATACAAATCATTGCAAAGCAACTTTACAGAAAATGAAGTTTCTACAATATTTAGTGGTAGCTTATCAGTGGTGACTGTCAGTTAATGTACATATGGCAGAAATGTACGGAAAAATCAATTAAAGACGTAATAAAACAGACGATGAACACTATTAACAGCAATTATTATATGATGCAATCAAACTTATAGCAAAATGTGGTAGTTCTGTATGTTGTTTCAGGGTTGGCATCATCTGAGGTCCTCTGAGGGGTTGCATCATCTCTTCTCAGGTGTTCTGGATCCAGACTCAAGCTTGTGTAAATCCTAGTTACCAAAAAAACAGAGAAACAAATAGAGACATAATTAGCGTAGCTGCTGTTCCAACCAAGCAAAATTGATTTGTTTAACCCAAACTAAAGAATAATAATGTGCATTTGATCAGATATAACTGCAGTACAAGATTATGAGATGCATTATTTGAATGCTTGGTCGAAGAGATGTGTCTTTAATCTAGATTTAAACAGAGAGAGTGTGTCTGAACACCGAACGTTATCAGGAAGGCTATTCCAGAGTTTTTTAAGGCTATATATTGAGTTCTTATGAAGTGAAACAATCGGTCTGTGCAAGAAACTAAACAATATTTACAACATTATTTCCTGTAATTCAGAGCCTCAGGCAAATGGGGAACTATGATTCTTTTCTGCGAACTGATCCTTTTAGACCAGGGGTGCCCAAACTCGGTCCTGGAGGGCCAGTGCCCTGCAGAGTTTAGCTCCAACTTGCCTCAACACACCTGCCTTCAAGTTTCTAGTATGCCTATTAAGAGCTTGATTAGCTGGTTCAGGTGTATTTAATTGAGGTTGGAGCTAAACTCTTTAGGACACCGGCCCTCCAGGACTGACTTTGGGAACCCCTGTTTTAGACCGTTTGTTTTAATAAACTGGTTCATTTCACTAGTTAATTTAGGTAATCACACAATGACATCACATATGCACCAAAGCCATCAAAATTGATGAGAAATGCTAATGTTTTACATGTCTAAAACATATAAAGTGAATAAACAAGTCTTTATCAGCTCACCTTTTTACATAAACAACAAGAAACCATGAAAACGTTCATTTTGCCCTTTCATTCAAGTGCTGGGTTCACACTTGCTCATATCAGCGGCTCATCTGCCTTCGGTCCGAGTTGAACTGTGTACTCAGTTCAGTGACTGTCGGAGGAACTGGAGCTCTGAATCAGTTCATTCATCATAGGATCAGATACGCTGCTATTATGGCTCATTTTGAGTCAGAGTGACTGTCAGGCGTCTGAAAGTGATTTTTGATTGAGTAACTAGATCTGCTCTGCTCAAGCCATGAACTCTGTAGGCGGTTCAGTCCGATTTGATGAACTGGTTCAAGTAGTATACCAAAAAGAACTGGTTCAAAAGAATGATTCATTCAACATCACTACATCACTCCAGACCGTTTGCCTGAGGCTCTGGATTACAGGTAATAATGCTGTAAGTAATGTTCAGGTTCACTGATTGTTTGATTGTTTCTCTTCATAAGATCTCAATATATCGTCAGGAGCCACGCGTATTAATTTTGTGTTCCTTGATATGCTTTTTTTTGTCATCAAAGGCAGGCAGCTGCTCACTTACTTTTTATGAAGCACCAAAGACCACAGTTTCAGCTAAAAACTGTTCTACTGTTCTTCTTTATTGTTCTACTGATGGGGGTAAAAGTCTCTCTTAAAGCGTCATTGCACAAACAAAATCTTATTCAGTCCTTTAATTTGCCTCTTGGAATGTGAGCTAAATCTTCTTGGTTTTAAAATGGCAAAAACACCAAATGGCACAAACCTGCAGCTCTGCCTGCCAAAATTCAACCTTTAAAGCCGTTAAAATGTTTGAACTGACTCTCACCACCAGACCCTTTACATCTCCAGTGAAACATTCCTCATGGAAACCAGCATTGTGAACCGAAACACAGTGTCCTAAAGT